GGCCAGGGGTTTTTTCCAGGGCTGGACAGCACCAAGCACGGGCCTGGTGGGAGGGGTGACACCTCACCTGGCATCCGTCATGCGCCCAAAAATTCAAAGCCCATCTGTTCCATATACTAGAGGCAAAAAGAAAAGGAAGAAAGCAGTCCCCAGGACAGATCGAAGCAACCTTGGGGGGCCACATGTGCACCACGTTACCGGACAGCATCCCTCCTTGTGTTCCGGTCAACTGATGCCAGGGTGAGGGGCATTAGAAATTCGCCATGGCCACTTTCAGGCGCTTTCGCCCAGACGACGTCAACAAGTTCTCGAAATGCAACTTGGATCCGCTGACAGAGACGTATGAGCTCTCCTTCTACCTACAATATCATGCCAAGTGGCCGTCACTATTCCAGGTCTGCGAAGATGTGAATGGCAATATCGTAGGGTACAGTGCGTTAAACCGACTGGGCGGCTGGCCACACCGTTCGATTTGTTTCAATTCATCCGGAGCACACTGGCTAACACGTTCTTCCTCTCCGCATAGTCATGGGCAAGGTGGAAGCATCCCCTGACGCCTTCAAGTTCGCCGAGCACTATCTACCCTGGCATGCGCATATCACAGCACTCACCGTCGCTCCCGAAGCCCGACGACTAGGCATCGGTAAGATCCTCACCGAACAGCTCGAGCTTGTCGCCGACGTCAATGACTCCTGGTTTGTCGATCTATTTGTCCGCCGAAGCAACGAGCGCGCAATCACCTTCTACAAGAACATGGGCTATAGCGTCTTCCGCGTGGTCAAGGACTACTATGGTGATCATGCAACCGATCCGACCCAGTCAAGCGAAGATGCCTTCGACATGCGCAAACCAATGAAGAGAGACCAGAAGCTCCAGCACATCAGAAGTGACGGGGAACAGCACTTTGTCAACCCGGAGGATGTATGGTAGGGCCAATACTTTATGCCATATTCTCTAACAATTGCTGCAATGTACTTGCCATGTGCCGTCATCGCGGTACGTCCCTCCACCACGCCTATGGGGTTGCCCAACCCCAGAGCAAAGCTGCCGAAAGGAAGCATGGATGCACGGATGCACGGGTAACAGCATTGACGTTCCCTGGGCACCATGTTGGCGAAAATCAACATGCAATGGGCATGTATAGGCCCAGCCGCGGGATGCATAAACGCAGGCATACACCGACTTGATACGCCAGATCTTGGGCCTTTAATCATGCGCTGGGCATTCGTTGCCCGGTCACCAAATATCAAGCCCGGTCGTATTTTGAATTTCGAGACTATTGAATATGTAGAAATCGTCAAAATATCGTCCCAGAGTATCACGTTGCTGACATCTTGTGGAATATTACTTGTGTCTAGGCATAGGATGCTAAATGCTCGTAGTAGAATTAAAGAATAATTCTAGTGTGGATGGCTCTCTAACAGCAACCAATCGTCTCGCCCATTCTACACGCACGACTGTCTCATGTCATCCACCGCCCATGAGTGGTGAAACACCGTTTGAGAAACGGCTAAACAGTCCCGAAGCTTTAGTGTCTGCGTCAACGACCGTCAGATCATCCTCCTGCGCCTCTCCATCCATGGCTCCCCCATTCGATTACATCACGCCCCTCCATCTCCGCATTTGGCGTTCAAGTTCCCATTCCGATTCACACTGTAAATGCTGTAGAGAATAACCCCTGCCCATCACCGCCACATTCGATCGCATCCCCTCATGTTACCTTACCATCTCAAACAAGCGTAATTGCCGTGCTTCCCCATCATCTCCAGCTGTGAGAACCCCAAAGAATGAATTTGATTATCGGCGCCGTGCTGGCTGCGGCCCTCGCACAAGCATCCTCGCTCACGCCGCCTGTACTACCACTGATTGTCCGGAACCCGTACCTCAGCACATGGCTTCCGCATGCCCGTGAGGCACCCTGGTCTCACTGGCCGATGTTCTGGGCTGGGCACCATGTATGAGAGTTATCCAACTGAGCCAACAGCCCAGCATTCGATCTTTATCAGCCCTAGTATTCTAATGATTTTGATGATGCAGATTGGATTCTCAGTCATGGTCTCCCTGCCGGACACCAACACCATATATCCATTACTAGGTCGACCTCAAGATTCGCTACCAGATTCTTCTCCCAAGTAAGCCGTTATGTGGAAGATGTACTGTTTAACCGGTATTTTTGCTAACTCCCGTTTCTAGCTTCACGGTGTCTGAGCCTTCTGACTATGAGGTATCTTTTGACGCTGTAACTACAAATCTCACTTACACACTCCAGGCCAAGGAACCGCTGGCCAAGTCTACGAAGGTGACAATATCCTTCCTGTCTCCAATCACGCCCACATCAACTTTGCGCCAATCTCTCCCGGCAGCCTACTTTACTATAAGTATTCAGGGGAAAGGACCAGTCAACGTGTACACTGACGTGAATGGTGAGTGGGTGAGCGGCAACCGTGACAATACTATTATCTGGGAGTTGAGTGATCTGTCCTCAGCAAAAACCAAATCACCATCCACGAAATCTTGGAAAGTTAGGCGCGAAACTGAGCAACACTTTACCGAGACGAGTGATAAAGCAGAATGGGGAACTCTGTACTTCACCAGCCCTGAGAATGCATCCCATGAAGCGGGAACGTCTGCTATTCTGCGCAACAAGTTCGCTGTGCACGGCCGTCTCTCGAACCAGACTGACAGCAACTTTCGACGGATTATGGAAGAGGAACCCGTTTTCGCCTTTTCCCATGTTCTCGATTCTTCGTCCTCGTCCATCACCTTCTCACTGGGTTTGGTTCAAGACCCTGTAGTTCAGTTTGCTGCTGCTCGTGGTCTCACCCTGATGCGCCCCTTATGGACCGGTTCTATTCCGGACGCAGATGATATGATCAAATACCACTATGCTGACTTTCCCACGGCATCCTCGCTTGCGGCAGCCTACTCAGAGCAACTTCGGCTTGATGCAGAGAGCTTAGATCTTGAAGGGTATGGGGATATCGCTGCCCTATCTGCCCGACAGGTTCTCGGGGCCACTTACTTCTCCGGAACTCTGTCAGATCCAATCCTTTTCCTCAAAGAGATATCTTCAAACGGAAACTTTCAGACAGTGGATGTGATCTTCCCCTCGTTTCCTTTCTTCCTATACACAAATCCTCAGTGGCTTATAAACCTCCTGGGGCCACTTCTCGAGCACCAGCTCAGCGGCCAGTATCCCAATAAGTACAGCATGCATGACTTGGGAGCCCATTTCCCGAATGCAACAGGTCATGCCGATGGGAGAGATGAATACATGCCTGTTGAAGAATGCGGCGACATGCTCATCATGGGATTGGCCGTTGTCAATGCACTGAGGCATGAATCGAAGCAGGCCTGGCTCATTGAATCTCACCAAATGCCTGAGGCTGAACAACAAATCCTCTCATTAGAGTCCCCCCTTCATGGCCTCACCAGACATGATTCAATCGACAAGGAAGGATCTGGTCTGGAAGCCGTTTCAGGAGAATCGGCTGCAAAAGCATGGGTGAAGCGAGCCTACCCAATGTGGAAGCAGTGGGCAGGTTATTTGATCCGCGAATCTCTGATACCCCGAAATCAGCTATGCACTGATGATTTCGCCGGTTGGCTTGCGAATCAGACCAACCTGGCTCTAAAGGGCATTATTGGCATCAGGGCAATGAGCGAGCTTTCAGATCTGGTTGGGGAAAAGGAAGATGCCAAGTACTACAAAAACATCTCAGACGTCTATATTGAGAAGTGGCAGGAGTACGGCTTATCCCGAGACCGAACTCATGCAAAGCTTGCCTATACATGGTATGGATCATGGACGACGATCTATAACCTGTTCGCAGATGCGCTTCTATGCTTCCATTTGCCATCAGGTCACGGCGTGGGCAGCGATGATGCAGAGAGCAGGCAGAAGCATTTCATCCCCAATGATATTTACAAGAATCAGAGCAAATGGTACCTTTCCGTCCTGCAACGGTACGGACTTCCACTTGATAGCAGGCACTTGTACACCAAGAGCGATTGGGAGTTCTTTGCCGGGGCCATCACCAGCACCAAGACCCGTCAGGCGCTAGTGGAGAGCATCGCTCGATGGGTGAATGAGACCATCACAGGTATGTACACAATAATCAGGGACACCTATAAGTGCTGGTATATAGGCACATGGCTAATCAGATTATACGTGTCAAGACCGACCTTTCACAGACCTGTATGACACCGAGGGAAAGGGTGACTTTTCCCCAGTCAGGTTCATGGCTCGGCCTGTAGTTGGAGGTCATTTCGCTCCCCTGGTCTTAAAGCATGCGTGCAGGGGGCAAGCTTCCAAGGGCCTGGACTTTCTCGACGCAGAAGACGACCAGCTGGTTGACGTGGCCGCAGCGCTGGCAGCGGATCTCGAGGAGGGTGTTCCGGTTTCAACTGATGATGGAATGGAGCTGTGAGACTGACTGTCGTGCCACTCAAGTTGTTGTAGAGCTAGCGAATTACAAGGTCTAAATGCATGGACTACATCCAGACACCCAATTGGCATGCATGTTAATAATTACCTACTGATAAACATCTGTGAGAGCAGCTTGGAATTAGGTTGATTCGGGTAGCACCTGCAGTTGCAACGGCCTTACATGATCCGCCCGTGCCGTATCTGTCGCTAGGTCGGTCCAGACGGTTGCTCAGGCACAAACAGCACGCTAACAGCTGTGTGTAATACTGCCCTTGTCGGCACCAGCCGGGGAAGCTGCTCGGGTGTTAGGGAGGAAGGTACCTAGATGTGGCGCTATGCCGCCTCTCGCTAGGCAGGTCCCAGAGAAGGAAAGCCCCGCTTAATCATCGGTCGTCCCTGGATCTCTCGAAACTGCACAGCCTCATTTCGGCGCGTGCAAGCTTCAAATCTCGATTTTTTTCCCTTCTTCCATCCACCTTTGTCTCCAAAGCTGCACCATTGCCATCCTCAGCCCGTCTCCATCCCGGCTCCATCTCCCGCCCCTAAACCACTGGCAACCTGTGCAATTAAAATGGCGACTACTGCGATGGACTACGAGACCGCCAACGGCGACCGCTACGAGGGTACGTAAGGATGTTCGCACAAGGCTACGCGTTGGTGATTTCAAAGCCTACCAGCATATCCATCAACCATATGTGTCAACCCTCCAAGGTCCCTGCCTGGGGTTGTCAAAACGACTCTTGAACGCGATAACACCATCATGTTGTTGTTTTTCCCGAAGCGAGGACAGATTGGCTGACCATGATTTTTTTTTTCTTCCAGACGAGGCTCCCCGGTACGACCGCGACAACCGAAGTGCCTCTCCTCGTCCTCCTCGTGACGATAATGATGAGCCTCGCCGCCGCTCTGCTTCCCCCGGCGGCCACCACGACAGGTTTGTCGACCCAAGAATTGCAAATACCATATTTACATGACTGACTTTTCCCATGAGTAGTGCGAAGGGTGGCTCTGGTCCCAAGGACGACGATGATGATGGTGCCGTGAACCCAGGCTCCAACCTCTTCGTCACTGGTATCAACCCCAACCTTTCCGAGAGCGAGATCGCCAAGATGTTCGAGAAGTACGGAGAGGTCGAAAAGTGCCAGATCATGCGTGATCCCCATACCAAGGAGTCCCGAGGTTTCGGATTCGTCAAAATGGTAACATCTGACCAAGCTGAGGCTGCTAAGGAGGGACTTCAAGGCGAGACGATTGATGGCCGCACTTTGAGCATCGAAAAGGCACGCCGTGCTCGCCCACGCACCCCAACTCCCGGCAAGTATTTCGGACCACCAAAGCGAGGTATGTTGCGTATTGTGTTCATCTCTCTTTCTTTCTTCTAACGCATCTTAGACCCCCGCCCTCGCCACGATGACCGCCGACGTGGTGGTGGTGGTGGTGGTGGCTACGGTCGCGATGACCCTTATCGCTACCGCGGCTATGACCGCAACTACGAACGCGGTGGCTACCGACGCAACGAGGACCGCGGCTACGAACGTGGCTACGACCGAGGCTACCGTGAAGAGCGCCGCTACGAAGACCGTGATTACGACCGCAGCTATGACCGCAGAGATCGCGATGATGGCTACTATGGCCGTGAGCGTTATGGTCGTGGTGAAGGCCGCGCTGAAGGTCGTGCTGAAGGTCGCAGTGAAGGCCGTGAAGACCGCGATCGCTACAGCGGTGCTCGTAGCGGCCCCAGCGGTCCCAGTGGTGGCGGTGGCGGTTACGATCGCGAGCGTTACGATCGCGACGCACCTCGATCCCGAGACCCCCCTGCCAGCGGTGCAGGCTACGGCGAGTCAGCCGGAGGTTCGGGCTACTACTGAGTGTTCTATAACCCATGTTCCCGCTAATATTCCTAGGCCCCGCTTGATCGTTGGTTGCGTCACAAACCTCACGTCCTACTCGATAACACATGGTGATCGAATTTCGGCCTGTATTTTGCTGCCTTCAGTTGTCGTTTGCGTTCTCGATTTGCAGTCCATTATACTTTCGTTTCATCTACAAGATTCCATGGACCGTCGCAAATCTTCTGAACAGTACCTGCTCATTCGGAGTTTCATGCGATTGTTTCGGTTAGGAAGGGAAACAAAATAGGGTATCCGGCCTTCGCCGCAAGTTTTTTCTTTATTGGTCCATCTGTCACGACAGGGTTGCTTCATGGCCACAAGCTTAGCAACCTCCGGAGATCTTGGCAGAATCAAGAGATTTGATCACGTTCGTCATAACATGCACACCTACCTATATGCCCTCGCATCTAATGGGCTTCGCCATTCTCGGCAAACTCCAGCAATGGGTTCTTGACGCTCATCCAATCCATGAGTCACGCCAATCAATCTGAGATTCGTTTTCTTTTTCACAACCTCTTATGTAATATTGTCGCCAGAAGATTCGGAACGGGCAGGAGATTTCGTCGCGTTGGAACCGGGGAATTCATGTCGCCGGCGACTCTTGCCATCTTATTAATGCCGACCGCCTTGCCCAGTACGCCTTGATTAATTATTTCTTCGCCTTTTCTTTGCGACTTCCGACATGTCCGTAATTGTGCCGCCATGCGCTCACCATTAATTTTAATCGCCGTAAACTCCAAGTGCCGGCTACAACCTGTCAGCCGCTCTCCAACCGCAGCTCACTTGATGGCACAGTCCTGCCCCCCGAAAGGTAAATGACATTGCCATGATTGGCCGACTCTGGATACTCCGGTGGGTTTCGATTATCAACACAATGAGAATCAGGCAGGTTAGATCGACCACATGACCTGGCATGGTGTGTGGCTCGTGTCTGGGCAAACAAAAAGTGAGGCTGGCAGGACAAAGACACCACATCCAGCCACGGGCCCTCCCGACCTTATCCGACAAAAAGCTCAATGCCACACTAAATCATTGCAGGCACCTTCTCACTTTGGCTTTACTAATGTGTCAGGTGATAGAGAATCCAGCCCTCTACGAAGTACCAAACTCCCCCCCTCTTCACTACGCTTCTGGTAAGCGGCGCTGCACTCCCAACTATTGGCAAGGTCACGCTCATTGAGATTTGAGACTCTGTACCCCCCCCTTCCCCTCATTTCGAAGACGATGACTTGCCAGTGAAGCAGTAGAAGGAAGCTCTTGAATTCAGCAGAGTTGCCTGCCGTTGCTCGGTCACCAATATCATCACGGCATCACACGCAACTCAGACCAGTTTCTCATATATCCCGACGCTCTCTAATCTTTGGAAGATTTATTGATATCCATATCATCGCTAAACCATGCCCACGTATTCTACCCAGACACCTCTTCTTATATAGTGTCGTACAAACATCATAATATACATTTTTTCGTCCAATCATGCAAGACCAATATTATACTTTATTCAATTAGATTGGCGGTTGACGTTGGCGCCAATCAACCATCCCACACCAGATACCAGAGTTCCCGTAGCTGCTTCGCGCAGCTGGTCGCGCTTTCTGGCTCGAGGCTCGTTCTGCGAGTCGTCCGGTGTGTCCGACGACGTCCCCGACTGATGGTCCCCGCCGCCGCCGCTCGCAAAGTCTCGCAGACTCGAGAGGGTTGTCAGATTCCTCGACGCCACTCTCGCTGTCGCCCGCGACAGATCAAACAGCGACATTGGCGCCTCCTCTTGCTGCCGGGCAGTCGATGAGGCAGTGATGTTCCGAGGTGGGTATGCCTGGTTGGCCGGCGCATCGAACGCCCCGGGGATGCCTCGCAAATCGCCCGTCTCGTCCCATGCGGCCTCCTTGGCAGCTTCATCCGAGATGGCTGCATCCAGCTGTGCCTCGCACTTCCGGAAGCTCTCGAGGATGGTCTGGAGTTCGGATGGCGGGGCAACACGCAGCGCCATCGCCAGACACTCGAGCCGCTGCTCGAGGTGGCGGATCTCGAGATTCCCGCTGGCAGTCCCCAGATGGGTGGGCTGTTGGGACCTTGAGGTACGGATGTACTGCCCAGCCTGGAGGGCGGCGCTCCATGACCATGTATCGTTGCGAGATGGCTTAGCCGAATCGCCGAGTCTGCTCACCACATAGGAGTATGCAGTCTCAAAGTCGTCTTCTTTTAGCGCAGCGGATATACACATGGCAACTATCCGCTTCTCTACATTGAAGAGCTCGCCTTCCAAGTCTCCCACGGTGGTAGGTATCTTCCCAGGTCGCTTCTGGATGAGGAAGCTGGCCGTGATCATGTTGGTTCCAATCTCCAAGAACTCCTGGAGACGGGTATAGGCTCCCTGATTCTGCTCCAGGACCTTGTCGAGGATAGAGACCGGGTCGGAGTGGACCCTAAGGACAACAGGACTGAAGGGTTCACCCTGTTTGAGGACGAGCCGGTAGCTACTAAGTGCGTGGGCTGCGCTCAGTAGAGCCTCGATTTGCTTTGTAGATTCTAATGTTCGGGGAACCAAGAGCGGCAGTGCATGGATTCTGTGCTCTCATTAGCAATAGTTCCATCAGTGACCTTTATTGTTTAGTATTGATCACGTACATGTCATTACACTTTTTCAACCCACCCCTCGTCCGGTTCGGGTTGGATGCATTATCAAAGGCATCCAGGGCGGCGTGGTATACAGCATCCTGAACAACGGTATCTGGTAAGGGCCTCACACTCGCATCTTCGTAGATGGACTTGGCCAGTGAATAACCTAGAGAGAAATGAGCAAGCGCGTCGTTCCGGTTAGTTAGAAGTTAAACTTACACATGCTGGACAGCATGGCCTTGAGGAGCTCCGTCTCGACATCACTCTCTGAGACCAATCCAAATATGCCGAGCTTTGCATCGCCCGAGGCAGCATTCGGGTTCCCCCAGTTATGGAGCCACAAAATCTCCCGTCGGGCCCTGATCCAGTACTCATCGCTACTCCTTGACGCTTGGTTCAAAACGAGGCGTACCAGTTTCACGAGTTCGCCCTTCTGCTCTCGCGCATCTCTCAACAGAACCATCTCTCCTGCCCTTTTAACAGAGTAGGGGATCCCCAATCTCGTCATCACACTGGCACTCAGAATAAGACCCTGGAGAAAGTTCATTGACGACACGCTCGGCTCTGTCAAGGGGTTTGAGGACTGCAGAAGGTCATTTCTCATGTGGGTGGCAGAAACCTTTGCGCCCGCAGGATTCGATATGCTGAACGCTGGGAGGGCAGGCAGATGCTCCAATGATGCATGGAACGAAGGAAGTTGATCCTGGCCGAAAAGAAGCCAGGCTCGACTAACGATATGATAGGCCCCGTCTAGGGCATCCATTGATGGCTCAGGTATCAGGTATGCTGAAGCTAGAGCGGCTCTGATGTATGTCTCCGAAAGGTAGTCGAGTTGTTGCTGGCGCAGGAATACGCCTGCGGCATCGCCCAGGTCAGCGTCAGAGGGCCCATCCCATTCCTCAATGGCATCTGCTGTTACCTTCCAAGATTTGGAAGCGTGAAGTACGAGCCAGTCGAGAACAAATTGCCACCCCTGACATGAGACACCATTCTTGCCCTCATCAGAGTCACTGTTAGGTTCTACTTTCCATCTAGAATCGTTGTACAGCCAGGGGCCTGCTAATCCTCGCAAATCTCGTCCAATATTGTTGACGTCTTCCTCTATTTGGTCTGTCCGTGAAAGAAGGTATTCCATAGCAGCGAGGTCGGGCAGGTTCTGAAACTCGCGGAGCGAATGCTGGGCCGTGTTCTGGGAGTAATAATCAAAGTTCCGCCGTATAAGTGGGAGAATGGTGGAAGCCACCCATGTACGAATTGCCGGTGACTGGTCGAGGAAGGGCACGAGCAGGTCCGGGACGAGACCAAGCATCCCAGCATCCTCGTCCATTTTATACGCTCTTTGGAAGAGAAATTGGGAGAGTATATCATCGGGTTCGGGCCAAAGGGCATCGGCAGAAGTCAATTGTAACAAATGAAGCTTCCTAGCCTTCCTCGACGCTTGACTTTCCGTCAACTGACCCAGAGGCGAGAAGTCCAGAACAGCATCGTCTGATTCTTGAAGAAATTCATCCTGGGAGATCTCGCGCACAAATTCGGCATATTGTGAAGGGTGGGTGGTCTCCGGGACATAGGTCAGGAGTATTCGGAGGAGGAGTTCATTTCGAAGAATCTCGCGGTGCTGAGCTGCGAGCGCCCGAAGGCTATCGATGTCGCTATTGGTCGCAAAATAAACGGCCAAAAGGACGACTCGGGCCGGTTGGGGCGCAGAGCCCATGATGATTGTTTCCACAGTGCAGTCGGAAAGTTGTAATCTCGAGTACTTGTCGTATGGCTGGTCTCGTAAGACGGCGGTTATGCGCTCTCGTCAGTGGTGGGACAGCTTCCAGAAGGGAGCTTGGTCTGTCCGTGTAAGGGAGTCCCAAGACTTGACTCGTCTTATCAAAACTCCAAACCTTCAGCAAAAAGAACTATTAAAGAGCGATGCACTCGAGCTGAACTTGCTCCTGCACGTGAAGCGAGCGTATCACACCCAGTCGTCGCAATAAATGCCAACTTGCAATGCAGTTAATTACCCACTGACGTATCCAATCGGCTAGCTCTTGCTTGGCAACTCGGGCGCTGCTGGTGGGATGGCTCCTTACGTAAGGCAAGATTATGCATCTAATGGTGCGTTTGAAATTCAACGGCCAGTCCCCATAAGCCTTAAACGAGGGATTACCTAACAACCTGCGGTACTTATTGTAAAGTGCAGACGAGGCGAAGAGATGAGTACCTCAACTTAACATCTCGGCTTTGGCTGCCCCGTTAGTTGCATTGCGCCTGCTGTTCCAATCAGAGCACCCCGTATGTAAGCAACTGAGGCTTTGGACTATCTCTCAATTGAGGACGTGAGAGTGCGACAACTGCTCAACCAAAGC